TAGAAATTGCTAAAATTATATTTTCTCTCCATTGGTTGTTTAATAAAATATCGGTTCATCTGCCAATTTTTTTCTTTTCTTTACTTTAAATCTTGTTCTTATTTGGTGAGCGATCAATACTTTATATTGTTCCATTAATCTCTTTCAATTTCGTGTGTTCAAAGGGTTCCAACAAGTGATATCAGAGCTACAGGTTGTTGAATTTATTTGAGATTCCTAGTTTCGATGGCTGCCATGAAGTATGACATTCCGTTTTTGGATCGCAATACAAGATTTTCAATGAAGCAAGTAAAGATGAAAGTATTTCTGACGCAGATGGATTTGGACGATACTCTGTTGTGTTTTGATAAAATGCCAACAACTTGGACAGCAGAAGAGAAGCAACGGAATGATCGGAAGACACTGTCTATGATTCATCTTTATCTTTCTAACAACATTTTTCAAGACGTGGTTAAGGAGAAATCAGTTACTGCATTGGGGTTAAAACTGGAGCAACTGTGCATATCAGGTGCTGCATTGTGGGTAAAACTGGAGCAATCGTGCATGACGTAGACATTGACGAGTAAGTTGCATCTGAAGCAGAGACTTTATTTTCATCGCATGGCAGAAGGGAGTTCTTTGGAGGACCATCGGGCCATGTTCAAGGAAATCATCGTTGATCTGGAAACTTTAGAAGTCAAGTATGATGAAGAGGATCTAGCTTTGATCTTGTTGTGCTCACTGTTCACTTCGTATTCGTCGTTCAGGGACACGATCTTGTACAGTTGTGACACACTCACCATTTTTAAAGGAGAAGATAAAGCATGTCGTTGGAGCTAAGGATGAAGAAGCTCTGGTTTCGTACGGTAATCGACGGAGGGATAGGTCGAGGATGAACTTTAGCAATCAGGTTTGCTTTTAATGCAGGAGAAAAGGACACATCAAGAAGGATTGCGACAAGTTGCATAGTAAAGGTAATTTATCTACAAATCATGGGAGGCAATATGATCATTCGGAAGAGACTAATATTGTCGAGAGATTTTCGAATGGCGAAGATGTGGTACTGACCGTATCTGACATGGAATCTAAGCCGGATGAGGGGTGAATTCTGGATTCAGCGTGTTCATTCCATATGTGTCCCAATAGGGCCCGGTTTGAAAAATATGAAACGGTGAAGTAAGGTGGAGTTATCATGGGAAACAATCAATCTTATAGGGTTTCTGGAATCGGTAGGGTCATATTGAGGTTATTGGATGGGACAGTTCGAGTTCTTGGCCAGGTTCGGTATGTTCCAGACATAAGGAAGAATCACATCTCGCTGAGTACCCTGGATTCTAATGGGTACACATTCTCCGGTGGAGGTAGAGTCTTGAAGGTCCAAATAGGTCATCGTATTGTGCTGGAAGGACAGAAGAGTTCTCAACTATATATCCTGTAGGGGCGCGCAGACCGGTGAAGAGACATCTGGACATATTTAGTACCGTGGAAGAGATCCGTTCGGTACAGTACATTTCGTGTTGGGCTTTGAGTCATTTGCTAGTAGAGGACTCGTGGAGCATAGGTACCGAGATTCATATGTGTATAATCATACTTTCGAGGTGTTTGAAGGTGATAGTTCTAGTAAGGGGCCTTCAGTTTAAGCATTTGGTATGGATTCTGCTACAAGGTATGCTTCGACCCTGTTTGGTATTTGTTGAATTCTTTGTTGGAATTTTGGAAACTCGGGGTTGTGGGCAGAGGTGATGTTTTTCGTAAGGTGGAGGGTTTTGGTACTGAATGAAGAGATTGGTTTATTCTGATACAGTCGGACTTATTTTTCTAGGTGGATAAATTTTGGAGTTTCGTTCGTTGCACCGAAATTTGTGTCAAGGTGTAGATTGTTAGATTTTGTGACCCAAATTAGGTTGTAATTTTGGGAATATATTTTTCCTTCTTTGCATGTATTGGGAAAAATATTATTTACTTTATTTCACGTGTTTTATTGGGAAAATATTGTTTCATTTATTTCACGTGATTTGTTTTTATCTTGTTTCCATCTTAGTTTTGGACATCTTCCCTATAAATAGTAGACTCTTCGTTCAGTTTTTGTGAGCAGAAATTGTTGAAGTTGTATTTTGTCTCCATTGGTTGTTTAATAAAATATTGGTTCCTCTGCCAATTTTTTCTTTTCTTTACTTTAAATCTTGTTATTGTTTAGTGAGCGATCAATACTTCATATTACTCAATTAATCTCTTCCAATTTTTCGCAACACTTGGGTATGTTACTAAGAATTTTAGCACGTAAACGTAGTTTTGCACATTCGGGGAAAAGAAACTAAGCTTTAAAAGTAAAGTGACTTACACCGATAATTTAAATTGGGGTTGAGGGTTTAGGGGTTTTACGGATGGATCAAAATTCCTGGTACAGCCATAGGTCCACGAAAATAGGTTAATTTCAGTAAGAGTCACTGAAGTTTGTTAAGAATTTCACAATCAAAATAATTATAGAAGTAATTTTAATACAATAGTAGTTACCAAAATTCTTAATTGTTACACTTTCAATTACTGAGTTAAATGTTTCGATGGCCACTTAACTTTGAACCATATCACGGCTTACTCATCGAACTTACATAATTGTCTCGTTAGCCACTGAACTTTACTCCATTAGCATCCATTACTCAACGGGTGGATGACAATTCAAACTATGCTTACGTGGCAGACGAAATAATGATCTGGCCAGTTTAACTTAGTCCAACTGGTAAGGCAACTGCCACATAAGATAATGTCACCCAAAAATGCTTTTTTACCTCCCTGAATTAGCTCAAATGCCACATCCCCCGATTGTAACCAAAATCATAGCGTGAT